TTTTGTCGCCGAAATGCATTATGACTAAATCTTTCGATGATGGGAAGCACCAAGGAGGGTTCTTACAGTATATCAGTATGAATAGCAAATAAGCTGATGCATGTCAGTCCCTTTCATTACTGGTTAAGCGCGAGAGTTGAACACATTAGTGACAAATCTACTCATAAAAAAATGAAATGTTGGTCGATACCAGAAGCGTCGTCAGGAGAAGGCTCATGCCTCCTAGATTTTGTTGAGTTTTGATGAAACACCTCAAATTTTTGGCTCATAAAATGAATAAAATACTAGCTCCAACACTACCCATTGTCAAGATACATCATGATAGAACTCAAATATCTCTTATTTATTCATATAAATTCTAGAAAACCAAGCTTCCGTCTTCACTCCGCCTTGTTGAGACGAGAGCTGTTAACTATCATCTAAAGGTCACAATTTCTAGTGAACACCATCATGGTCAAAATCTTTTGAATTGCTTGATATGTAACGAATCATCACTTTAGCTGCTAACTATAAAATGCTTCTGCACACTTCAGAGAAAGCACAACTAGCTCCGATTGGAATCCTCATAAACTGACAAGGTCTTCACTGAAAAATAACCACTCACTTGACTTCAGCTTTTTTAAGATATTGAGGAAATATTGCCCTTTCATCGATTTCTTCGTGCGGACAGATGGAAGAAGTTGATTTTTACTTTGAGCAGATTGTGCTTCAGCAAAAAAATTGTATGAATTAAAATTATTAATCCACCCTATGCAGAATGACAAGACTTCAAAGTTACTTACTCGAAAAACGGTGCATTTTTAAAGGGCAAAAAATTATCGATTTTCCAAACTTTCTGGTAAAACTTTATTTGCAGGTGGTCGCTCAAAGACATAAATAATCTCCAAAACAGCCCCAGCAGACTTCTATATGACTACAGCGTTTGAGCTTTCCAGCTTTCATCATGCCTGAGATAACCCTGCACAAACTAGCCACTTCTGGCGAGTAACTTTTTCCCTTCTGCGCATGCTGGTGGACTGCAGTGAGGTGCAGAAAAGCCAGCAAGACAATTATATGTTGTGAACAAAATTGTCTCTGTAATAAAGTTTGTAGCTTCAAAAAAGGATCAATCTGCCTCAAGTTAAAGCTAGTCGAAAAAAAATTTTCGCAAGTGCACGGGAACTTTTTTTACGGCCTAATAGAATGAGCTCTTTGCGTTGATAGCAAAAATCCAATATTGTTGTCGTTCACAGCGTTTTGCAAAAAATACAGAAAATCGGTTATCATTCCTGCTTTTTTTGCTATAATCTTCACATTTCGCTCTAGTCGCTGGGGAGTGAGAGAGTTGAAGTGCGGCCATTTTTGCTGGTTTGTCCCAACATTTATTTCCTCCTTGTCCCACAAAAGCTGGTTGTTTTGCCGCGTCTTTAAAATCGCGAGGTTCACAGGCTTGTACGATCGTTTGGGTGGATCCGTTTGACTAATAGAACTACACAGCTATGGTGCTGGCTTATGATCAGCAAGCGTGCTTAACTTGAGCCTGTGAATAATAAGGAAGCTTACAGGTTACCCAAGGAATCGGTTTCATACTTTTGATTCAAAAAGTTGGTCAAATTTTGACTTTTTTGACAAAACGAGATCTTGTGACTCAAGCTGAATTCCGCAACTCAGAATATCAATCGCCGATACTGAAAATTGATTGGGATTATGCACACACAAAAATCTGTTCAGCTTTCTGGATCGCTTACAAAAAGATGCACAGGAGGTTTCCAAGTTGTCTGCGATTGTGTGACTGATTTTTTCCCACTCTCTGAATCGCTTATAAAATATAAACCTAAAAAGTTCTTAAAACAAGACACACGTCCGACTGATTTCCAACACTTTCCAGATTGTACTATTTCTTCTGAATTCCCATCAGTCCTCTAAACCGCCTGGAAAAGAATACACAGTTTTTAAGTGGTCAGAAGTTGTCCTTCCCATGCCGTTTTCTTTCCTTGACTCTGTAGGTTGCAAATTGAACACAAGCTTATTCCACTTACTCATGTACGATAAGAGCCAAAAGATTTCTCTCGAAGTGGAATTGTTTTGTTTGTAGGGCGAACGTAACAAAGCTCAATCTTATATATAAAGCTGAATGTCTGTTTGTCTGTGTCTGTATGTCTGTATGTATGTATGTATGTACGTATGTTCCGAATAGAAAATTCCATTTCTGAACCGATCGGGACCAAACTTGGCACACATACACTTCGGGCCCCGGCGGGTGTCAGACGCTACTTTTCGTATCGATCGATATCGACTTTATCGATTTTTTGCAAAATTTGAGCTACGGGGCTGGGAGTTGGCAGAGGGGGGTAAGTGAGTATGGGGATTCCGAATACAATATTAGTTTTTAAAATCGTGCATTACTTTTATCGATTTTATCGATTTTTTTGCAAAATTTGAGCTACGGGGCTGGGATTTCGCATAGGGGGGGGGGTGATCAGCATGCTCGATTACCCCCCTCTGCCAACTACATACAGACTGACATACAGACATACAGACAAACAGACATTCAGCTTTATATATAAGATTGAGCTTATGTTACGTTCGCCCTACAAACAAAACAATTCCACTTCGAGAGAAATCTTTTGGCTCTTATCGTACATGAGTAAGTGGAATAAGCTTGTGTTCAATTTGCAACCTACAGAGTCAAGGAAAGAAAACGAAAAGTGGACTGTGACACCCGCCGGGGCCCGCCGGGGCCCGAAGGGTATGTGTGCCAAGTTTGGTCCAGATCGGTTAAGAAATGGAATTTTCTATTCGGAACATACGGCGGAGCCGGGTAAGCCAGCTAGTATTGTATACGTATGGATCAAATCTACAATATCGCTCATAATTCGTCAAAAAAGTCGCTCCAGCCCAGCGGAGTGCGACAGTGCACTGCAGGGCGCAGAAGAGCGCCGGAGAGCCGCGGAGTGCGCCGCACTCCACTGGAGTACGTCGAAATCCGGGTCGCATCGCCATATCTCGCTTCAGAATAGGCTATTCTGATTCCAAGAACATCTTTCGATTCATCTCGGCGAGGCGCATCATTTGGTCTACAGAAGGGCCACAATCTGTTGGGGTACGGTAGATATACGTTAACAGTAGGTTTTTGCTCAATTTTGAAGACTTTTGTTTGATTGGATCGTCCAGTGTGCTGCCCACTGTATCCAGTGCTCAAACTTAGTTTCTATGTGTCGAGCAGTTCTTTAGATATCAGAGGAATACTAGCTCTTGCGAAAAGCCTGCTAAAGAAGAAACATTGACTCAAACTTTACAGCGTTCTTCCTCAAACCTGTCTTTTTTGACACGGCAATGCTCCCTTTTGGGGACTGACAGGCACATTAAGCAGCTATAAGCGATAGAGTAAACTTCGATTGTTCTAGAGCCTGAAAGTGCACATAGGATCTTTGGTGCCGGGAGACCTTTTTGACGGAATAAAAACGAAGCCGTTTTTCACCTCGTTTTAGTACATGTATGTATGCCAATCAAATTATGAAAAATTACTTTTGCCGCGAGAGGTGAAAAGTAACTGGTGACCATCTGCTAGCTCTTGCTTTACTCTAGCATCTACAACATTAGATTCGTCGATTGCTTCTATTCACGGAAAGTTAAAGCTTGTGGAACTTTTGTACAAATAATTAATCTTCAACAACAATTTTACAAGCAAGAATTATTTTCTACGCGAGAGTGAGTTTGTGCATATACTGGACTGTTTTATCCTTATTCCGTGATCAATACAAAGAATTGACTTGGAGAGCATATTATGAAGATTTTCTCGCAAGAACATTTTCTTAGCTGAGAACGTGTCTCGACCACCGGGGGGTCATAGGCCTGCAATCTCGTCAGGCTGGAGATTTACTCAAAATATGATGTGTTGTAAAGAGCAAGAAACCCGCTTTATAAGAGTATAAATGATACCGCATTACGAGTGAAAATCTCCTAGAACGGGTGCCTTGAATATAAGGCAAAAAAATCGGACAAAACTTATGCAGCAGCCTAAGTTATCATTAGTTGTTTGTGGATGATTGTACTGCTTCATAGAAATTCCTGTTATGATAATTCATTTTTTCTCTACGCATTTGTCACTGTCATTTACGGCTTTCTTAGAGTGTGGCTGACTTTAGCGGCTGAATTCTTAAAGCTTCGCTTGAGATTCAGTTTGGGTACGCCCCAAGCTTCGTCAACGAAATCACAAGAGGAAACGACGGGAAGAGCCTTGCATCGTAAACTTCGAATAAAGCTATTCTTTTCGCCATTCTTCCCACATTGTCATTGCCATCGTTAGTAAGAAGCTACATCATGAACAAATACGCATACAACAAACTTAGCAATTTTGCATTCTCTTTTACAAGTGTTTTTACTTCCTTATGGTGAAACCTGTGCTGTTCTCAGAGAGCATGTTACAGGCGATGTCAAAAACCTATTCCCTTTTGTGCAGTCCTCGATTTGCATGCACGCGCCGCAAATCCCGTGCGCCACGTGCGCGAGCGGACGGCAGGGCATTTTGCCAACTCCCACAGACGTCATCGATTGAGGGTTGGCAAGGGCCCAAGCCGCACGCACGCGAAAGGAGCGCATCAGCCTTGCGATGCGTACGCGTAAGAGCTACGGACTTGTGAGCTCCTCATTAATATGCACCGTACATTGATTGCCTTTCCGCAATGAACCTCCACTTTCTTGAAAGCTCGAAATAATTTCCATCATTTGTGATGCAACATAACCTTAGATTCAATTGGTTTGGCGGCTGGAAGGTGCGGCTCTATGACCCAATTAAGCGGCTGGAAGGCGCGCTTGCGTCCGCGCCACAGTCTGCGTCTCTCCCGCGCACGTGCTCTCTAAACCACCTAGTCTTAATTAGGTCACGAAGCCCCGACTTCCAGCCGCCAAGCCAGTTGAATCAAAGGGAATATACGAGGGGCCAAAGAGTTGGCACTGACGAGGCCTCAAAAGCTGATAAGTGCTACTACTCGGAAACACATATATTGAACCGAAGTTCATTGTTGAGCACGCAATGGTCAAAGTTGTTCAAAATGGATCTTCATTGTCACTCGCTGTGGATGCTGATGTAGGCGAAGAAGAAGCTGTTGTAGCTGTGCGCGCAGTAGTGGGAGCACCGGTACTTCCCTCAGCACTGGTAGTGGTGTAAGTGAATGGACTAGTGTGGGTCATAGTCGGAGCACTGGTGCCGGCAGTAGATACGGTTGAGAAACCATCGCAAACAAATCCCATGCAGTACGAGAACTTCATCCGACCGCACTTTACTGACACATACTGGAGGTGGTAACGTTGTTGAAGGTTAATACCACTTAGAAATTGACGTAACTGCAATGACAGTACGTTGTGTGTATAATAAATGAAACAAATACTACTGAAATTTTCAAAATTACCTGCTCGCAATTAGTGTATCGTAGACCATATTTTGCAACGGGTAAGCCACTGATGTAGGTCGCAAGTTGTCGGAAATTTCTGTCATCGTAATGAGTCCCAGTTTGTTCGGCGAAATCGTCAAACTATAGTTGGTTAATAGTTGTGAAAATAAAAAACAAATGTTATTTACCAGCTGCCGAAAGTCATCTAAGAAGCCGGGCGTTTCGTGATAGTTACGAACATTACTGGCGAGTAGCACTTCAATCATTTCCCAAGGGTTCCTGTGCGCATCTCCGAAAACCTTCAAAGATTTATGTGGTTTCAGTCGGAGCCTCTTATAAATTTAGTCAATAAAAGCGCTTTCCCGATTTCTTCGACAGCATGATTTTAAGTTTGCGCATTCAGCGCCGTTTAATATTCAGATTTATTCTTCGTAGTGAGCAAATTTGAGTCTAGTAAATTGATCTGCACATCAAGTTAGAACTTTCGGACCTTGGACTTGACTCTAACTGACTAGCTCCGTGTAATTTCACCGCTCAAAATGCGGTTACCAAATGAAAAAGGCTTCTCTGAAGATACCGTCTTGCTTTGCAAGTTCAACAAAAAGTGATATCGGACAAGGATGGTCACATGAAGACGTCTATGGATGAATTGCCCCCGCATGAATTGGAGGTTGCCGCAGACTCCAGACGTTTTCTGCGCACTACGTTCAGTCCGTGGATCTCGCATCTTGACAGTCAAGAAGTGACAGAATCGAACCTTAGCATTTTGATAGAGGGAAAGAACATTAACAAAAACAAGGGCAAAATTGCATTCAAATGGCAAACAATTTGACTAAACTGATGTGCTCCTCAGCGCTAAGATATACTCGAGAGAATATTGTGCATTTGAAATAATTGCAAAATCGAAACGATCGAAATTTGATACTTTGCAATCGATCGTCTTCTGTACACCTTAGTTTCTTGGATGTAAGTTATAAGATGTGAAATACTTACAGCAACTGCGAAGAATGTCAGCGCTAAGGGATACATTTTCTATGATATCTCACACTGCCAGCTTTTATACCTCCATCATCTTGTAATATCATACGGTAATGGTATCCATCACTGCTTTCTCCTGCGCTTTTAAGTGCTTGATTTGAAACAGCCAACACATGTTAAATTCTTCAGATGACGGTCAATGTGATCCATTCAAGGATAATGTGAGCGATTTTTGAATTGAACATGTCGTTTATGCTGTTTGTTCGAGTAACATCTATGCGATGCAAGGAACACATCTATTGAACGCAATAACTTATGCTACGTAACACATGGGAAAAAATTCTAGGACAGTCATCTTTCCTTCGGGTTGAAATCAGAGACAACCAAATTCTGACTATTAGGCCTCGCTCTCACAGTCCTCAACTAAGGCCCGTATGCACGTACATCCCCGCTGGGAGGGGTGGGGATCTGAGAGGGGATACGTCATATCTCGCTACTTCACGTATCTTTCTTCTTCCTTCTCTATCTTGCTTATGAAGGTTCTCATGCCCTAATACCTGCGCATGATTTCTACTAATTTGTGTGATCCCCTGGAGATCCCCAGGGGATCACCTCTCAATTTCAATGCCATTTATCTTGCTGAAAACTCAATGAAAGCGCTGTAAAATTGTACTGTAGATATACTACGGCACTACAAAAGACGTTTATAGTAGAAATAGGTGAAATCTCAGGATATCGAAGTACTCGATAATCCCTAGCTCGCGAGCCAGGGATCATCGAAAATTTCATAACTTTCAGGGACCCGTCATACTTCGCCGAAAAAAGCCCAAAGAAGCCCGAAAAAGCCCAAAAAAGCCCGAAAAAGCCAAATAAAGCCCGAAAAAGCCCAAAAAAGCCCAAAAGCGCCAGAAAGATCCAGAACACTTCTCGCACGTCTTGGCGCTAAGGCATGTGTGTTGACTTCGCAATCGAGCCTTCTGGTCATTTTCTGTCGTCCGCATGATTAAATAATGTCAGAATTCTACCAAAAGTCCGTTTCTACATTCCGGCTCTTTCTGGCGCTTTCGGGCTTTTTTGGGCTTTTTCGGGCGCTTTTGGGCTTTTTTGGGCGCTTTTGGGCTTTTTTCGGCGAAGTATGACGGGTCCCTCAGATTCCATTTCTCCTGTCGAAATCATGCTTAGCAGTGCCGTAGTATATCCTCAGTACAACCTTGCAGCGTTTTCATTGAGTTTCAGGAAGGAAAATGACGTTGAAATTGAGAGGTGATACCCTGGGGATCCCCAGGGGATCACTCAAAATAGTGAAAATCTAACCAATTATGCCAGTAACCTGGCATCAATTACGCGCAGGTATTAGGGATGAGAACATTCATAATCAAGATAGAGAAGGAAGAAGAAAGATACTTGGAGTAGCGAGAATGACGCATCCCCTCTCAGATCCCCTCCCCTCCCCAGCGGAAGATGTACAGGGCTCCTAAACTGCAGAGTCGTTTGCACCAGCGGTCACGCGACCGCGTCGCGCCCGGGCATCAATGGCGCCGCCTCGATCGATGGCGCTCGCGCCGGCAAAATGCCCGGGCGCGATCGCGCGACCGCTGGTGCAAACGACTCTGCAATTTAGGAGCCCTGTAGGTGCATACGGGTCTAAGAGGAACTCTTGCTAATGCTTTTACGATAGGTTTCGTAGACCAGGAATTGCGAACACGGCCGAACACGGCTGTAAAATGTAATGGTCATGATGTTTAGTCAAGTTCGAATCTTATGATATCTGCTCCAGCGTTTGTTAAAGCTCACACATGATATTCAGATTGATTTAGCACCGCTTTGGCCTGGAAAAGTCTTTGGTGGCGGGAAATCTCGATTCGAGATCTTTTTCCATGAAAGCTTATGCAAAACACAAGGTGCGCGGTGGTGATGTGCGACAAGGTCGATCCCTTCGAAACTCCTGTCATCGAACAAAGCACTTAGGTACAGTCGAGTAGATTTCCTGCTTAATATAGTGTCTCGCAGACGCGACAACGCTGGGGCGTCGATAAATGCCTTGCGAGTTCCTGAGCTAGTGTTTTCCAGTGTTTTTTTTGCTTATTTCATGCTTTTTAGTTGATTCGTTGCTGATAAAGAGGAAAAGGGTAAGCTAACGAGTAGTTTCTGTTTTCTGAGAAGTTCTATCATCGCATATTCACAGATATCCACGTGGAAGCATTTCGCGTCAGCTTCTATTTTTTTGTCATTTCCTTTTCTTGTGTCACTTCTTCTTTCAAACCTCCTCCTTCTTGTGAGGCGTTTCTTTTGAACGCTAGTTGGCTTGTCTTGCAGCAACTACGGCTTTCATCCATAAGAGATAGCATTTTTGTCAAGTACTTCATGTGATAAAGACAATAAGTCAATCGTAAAACCCACTAGCGTTTAAAGAAGTACCTCTCAAGAAGAAAGAGACATGAAGTGACAAAAAAAGACAAGAAGCTATGCGAACTGCTTCCACGTGGAAATCTGTGAATATGCGATGATAGAACTTCTCAGAAAACAAAAACCACTCTCTAACTTACCCTTTTCTTCTTTATCAGCAACGAATCACCTAAAAAGCATAGAATAAGCAAAGAAAACACTGGAAAACACTAGCTCGGGAACTCGTCAGGCAATTATTGACGCCCCAGCGTTGTCGCGTCTGCAGGAACACTATATTAAGCAGGAAATCTACTCGACTGTACAATAAAGTCATCGCAGATGACTCAACATCGCTAAAAATATTTAAAGGTGGACAAAACCAGAATTTTTTGTGTCTCAAGGCGCGACTCAAAGTAACGAACTTCGCCCGCCAGAAGCTCCGCAATCTCGGTGGAGATCTTCTTGTGTTCCGCATCTGTCAGAAGGCTCTAACGGACTACATTTGTCCAGATCGCCGCAACACCTTCCTGATGGAAATGCTTTGATGACAATGGCACGGTCTTCAATATTTCCTGAAGCAGAGGCATTGTTTTGGCAGAATTGCGTCTTCCAGTTCTTCACATTTTCGGAGCCTTTTCGCCATGAGGATTCCATATCTGCCTTTTTAGCGCATGGAAATGGCGAAAATGAGCTTTTTTCCGAAGCTTTCCAAGTCCGCAATCGGTGGAGAATACGCGTAAGTGGGCGGGTCCCGAAACGAGAGAGGCGGAGCGCGAAAGACTTCCGGCGTATCTTCACTGACTTGGAAAGCTTCGGAAAAAGCTCGTTTTCGCCATTTTCATGCGCTGGAAAGCCCAGATATGGATTCCTCATGGCAAGAAGGCACCGGAACGGTAAAAAAACTGGAAAACAAAATTCTGCCGAGACACTGCCTTTGGGCTTTCAAAACATCTATTAAAACGGCACCATTTTCTCAGCATCTACAGGTGTTTCAGTATGTATTATGCCTCATGGTTATGTCTTTTTATCACAAAGCCTTTTGAAGGCCATGAGGCATAATACATACTGAAACACCTGTAGATGCTGAGAAAATGGTGCCGTTTTAATAGACGACTTATATACAGGGTTTCCCCTGTATTTAAGTCGGCGTTAGGAAGAATAAATTCCCCGACAATCTTACGGAAGACCGAAGGGGGTTGCTTGGAACCGTCTGAAGATTATATTCAGAAAAACGAATTTTTTCTGGCATCGCGAATGGAACGGGCACGAGTTTAGAAAACCAACACACAGTGGCATCCACCTGAACAATTTTCAAGACATCACCTTGACCGATCATCCTTTGATTATTACTTTACAATTGGAAGATCTCTGCTTTGAAGGCACCGCCCACCCCGATTCTAGACTTCCATGTATTGGTCGTTCCGGGGCCTTCTCGCGTCCCTAGTTCCGAATATGAAGTCGAGAATCCGCACAAACCCTGTTCCGGAAAGCACGCAAGTCTTCCGGTGACTACATGGGCGACCTACCTTCGACAGTCCAAAGACAGTAGAAATGAAGCTTGTTTGAACATTTGTCCTCATAAAAAGTGAAGATTGTTTATAGAAGATCAGAGAAAAAAAGACGCAAAATATTAAAGGAGGCAAAAAAAAACTGAAAACCAGATGAAAACGCTGCAATGAGCTCAAGACCCCAAACTCAGGGTGGCATGCCTTTAAAGAAATGATAGCCTCCCTTTGAAGCAGATCATTGAATCACGGTGCAATAGTGAACATTTCATCTCATGACGTTCTGCTCGCTAAATTTGTCAAGAAGTTGATGCATGCAGAGAAACACTAACAGTAGCTTATAAAGTTTCTTATTCTTCTGACTATTCTTTCTCCAGACAAGACCCGCTACGTAGTGTAGATTATAATGACATGACTTAGTTGCCATCTCATTATCACGACGGTTCGAATGCAAGCATAAAAAGATGAAAAATGGAAATGTTTGTGTAAACGATGAAATCATTCAGTGAGGTTACGTTACTGTAGATCGGCCCGAGTGTAAGTCAGCGAAGTGTAAACGGAAGTGTGACCATCTGACCAGCCGTCTTCTAAAATATTCAGATTTTGTACGCAAAAAATTACAATTTATATGTACCAAGAAAAACGAATCACAAGCAGTGCTAAGTAAGACGGTAAGCGTATGCACAGATAGAAGAGATGAACCATACGACAGGAAGAAATACTTCAAAATCAGCAAAAAACCTTGAATTGATCATTGTGAGCGGCTAGCTGTTCTACCCAGGTGAGCAGTGTCCGCGTGATTGTAGCATACGATGAGAAGTCCACTTGTTCAACGAACGACGAAAAGCAATCATCAAGTAGAATTTGCAACTGAAAATGCGGCATAAAGGTGATACAAGAAAAGCTATTCATATAGTTCTACTGTCAACTTACCATTCGGGCTTGCAGCGAGGAAGAGTTACTAGAAGGAGCTTCAGCAGCCATAGTTTCATACTGTGCAGCAATCATTTCCAGTGCAGATACCTAAGCAGTCAAAAAACTGAGAAGAAAGCAAAAGCGGCCACTTATGTTTACCTGTGCAGTTAATTGCTGCAACTCCTTTTCATTGGCTTCCACCTCCGATGTTAACTGTGCCATGTAATCACAAGCCCTAAAATGTGTGATATGGATATAGTGGAAGTAAATGTAACCTTCGATCATATTACTTGCCTGAAAAGTATAGCAGCATTTGTAGTTTTACATCCCATCGCGGAGGCGGTCTGTGGAATCAGCTCTTTCAAATCAGAGTACCCACTCTGAAAGAAACTACCTCTATCAAAAGGAGCAACTACTTCTTCAGGTGATCTGCAGTGTTTGATATGTATAATCGACTCCACGATTCGTGTAGAGGCGGGTTTTGCCAACTCAAGGCGTGGCGGTTTTTGATAGCGAAAGAGTGTGAAAACCAATGCTGTGACGTGAACGATTACAGTTCATCCTTAAAATCAGGAAAAGTCCACAACCCGCTCTACACGAATCGTGGGGACGCATTTTTTTTTTTGAAGTTGAGGATGATAGATTGAAGTGATGACTGCTCAATGCAGTGGATCATAAAGGTACACAGGAATTTTGCAATTCAAAGAGAGCGCAATTCAAAAACCGCAAACTCCATGGCGATGTCACGACGTGACATCGATATGGAGTGTGCGGTTTCTACAGTCTGCTCCAATCCTAACCAGCCAAAACTGGCATGGCGGGAGCCCGCGTCGCTGGGGTTTCGCGGTCACGCCCACGGCCTGATTCTCTGCTCTCTCTTCAATTTTTTGCTTTCTCCGACAGCGCACATATGCAGCGCAAACCGCCACCGCTGCGAGCGCGCAAATCTACGCCAACGATTCGGCCTGATCCCGATTGGAGCAGACTGTAGACGTTTTTGGAAGGTTGTCTAGACGTTTTTGGACGCTGATGGCTCTTCGACAACTGTGCAAAAGAGACAAATTCCTAACAAAAATACACTCCATCTCCACGTTTTTCGATGGGGTGTGTGGGGGGGGGGGGAGGTCCACCACCACTCGGTGGATGGGTAGACAGTAAACGGTGCAGGAAACTCGCGTCCTGCACTTAGGGCTTCGCTGTTGGTCATTTCACTGATTGACCAATAGCGAAGTGGATCAAGTGGATCAGGCAGATCAACTATGGCGTGTGCCTAATACTCATTCCGTGCCCTCCTTTCTCACTATCCTAATCAGAGGCTTATCTGATCGTTCTCCCATAAAATGCATATACACCTTAATTCTACCTTTTTCCGAGAGCGCGTAATTGTGTTATATGTTGATGGGCCAAGGATTTTCCCAATCTTATAAGGAATGATCAGTCGAAGTGGCCAATCCAAGTAAGCTGCATACCTTCGAATGCAGCATAAAACGCTGACTTCGAACCTGTATTCCGTATCTGCTTAGCGCCTATGTGGGCGAAGTTATGGGCCGTTAAAGGCCGTTATTTTGCTAAGAAACGGTGCATGCAAAGCACAAATCTGGTGGAGCCATGTTCAGCTTAATGCTGAGCCAAAACATGCAACTAGGTTAGTTTATACTCTAAAAGCCAAGGTGAGCAGAAAGGGCAGAATGTGCCCAAGTCCACAATTCCTATGTACGATTTTTCCGCAATGATGGTCATAACTTCGTCCACAAAGACGCTAAGCAGTTATGGAACACAGATTCGGAATCAGCATTGAACGCTGCATCGAACGGTAGGCAACATGCTTGAATTAGCCACTTCGACTTCTGACCAGTCCCTTGATAGTAGAATGTAACTAATACTCATACTCGCAAATCCAAAAGCAAGTACCCTCAATCAATAATAGCTCTGTATCGAGTGTAAGTGATAAGAAAAACGAGAAAAAAGAATAGTGAACTTTTAATCGGCGATAATACTCACATTGATGGCCTCACGACGCTGTCGTTCACATCGAAGATGTGTTTGCTTCTTTTTATCCGAATACAGGGAGGAATCCGATCCTGTTGGGCTCATTTCTGACACCTCCCCTTGTGTCGCTGTAGAACGTCGCCGTCCTCCCATTTCTGGGTTTTTATTTGTCTGAATGACATTTAATGTCAGCAGCAGATAGACAGCAGTTGCTTGGCGTAAATTCTACTCCGAAAACAATGTAGCCACCAGATTATAAGCATAAGAATAACTTAAATAGGATAAAGTTTGCTTTCACATACGAAACCAAAGTGATGAAGGTGATAAAGCAACGGGTGGCTCCACCCGTCACGTGGGTTCCATGTGTTTGTGTAAAAACGCGTAGCGGTGTATGACGTAATTATGCACGTTAATGGCTTCTGTCCTCGATGACCTTTTCCATACTCATCCTCGTTTCCTACGTTACCATTCCTTTCTTTGTGTTGCGATACTAATTAATATAAGCTTTTGTTTGCAGATGTCAAATATCGCTTTTACGCGGATTCAACGAGAATGCAAAGAAGTTGTGACGAACAAAGAGATCGCCGAAACCGGCATTATGATTGAGATTCTGAATGATTCTTTATCCGAAATCAAAGGACAGATACGTGGTCCACCGGACACCCCCTATCAAGGCGGATCTTTTGATTTAGAAATCAAAATTCCAGATACCTATCCATTTACTCCACCCAAGGCGAGTTTTTTTTTTTCGTATTGAATCTTGAACATTTCTCGTAGTTAAGTGGATTGCTACGACGGAAGTAGCTGACCTTTTATAACTTGTTTGCTGTTGCGCTATCTCCTTCACAATCTGGTTCAATATAGACTTCATTTCTAGTGTTTTTTTTTTGCGAAAAATCGCGCAAAAAGTGGTGACTTTGAAATTGTTTTTACACGCTCATGCCACATGGCAAAGAGAGAGCAGACTCAAAAGAATTAATATTTAGTCAGAACGCATCTGTTTTTTGAGATTTGAACAGTCGGGACGAACGGTACTTGCATCTTTTGACTTACAATTTTGTGCTTTACAAAAATAAGCTCGCAAATCGGATTTACAAACCTACTCCCATCTGTGAGAGTGGGAGGTTTGCGCTCTTCAAGCAGGATCTGTCACTGAGGATTACGTAAGGCATGCTGCCAGAGGTAAAGCGAGGAAATCGCTCTGCGAGGTAGGAGCATGGCACTTCATCTATCAGCATAGGTGGTCTGGAGATAATGAACGAAATTGAACTTCAGCGCCTAGAAATCTCAAAAGTTTAGTCATGTATGGAAAGCTTTCTGGCAATTCTAGGTACATTGAATTTTGCAATCATTATTTTCAGGCCCGCAGGTGAAGGGCGGATTTATCGGTGACTCTTCCACTTTCATAAGCATTTTTTCACTTTTGTCACCTTTACTGGGCTTAGGTGACTACTAAAGGATACGTCATATTTCGCCAAAAAAGTCCCAAAGCGCCCAAAAAAGCCCAAGAGTGCCAGAAAAAAGCCGGGGCGCCCCTCAAACTTTTGGTAGAATTCTGACATTATTTCTTACATTATGTAGATGTGCAGACGACAGTAAATGAAGGAAAACGACTCGGTTCCAAAATCGACACACATGCCTTAGGCTGCGTTCATACTGATCCCGTAGTGAACAATTCCAGCACAGTGCTTTGTTCAATCACTTTACTGGAACTGTTCCCGGACTCTGGGATCAGTATGAACGCACCCTTAGCGCCAAACTTGCGCAAAAGGGGGCGTTCCGGCTTCCTGTTGCTTTTGAGCTTTTTGGGTTTTTTGAACCTTTTGAGCTTTTTTGGCGAAGTATGACGGGTCCCTTAGCCAGCGGTCTTACTACACGGGATCAAAATCTCACTACTCTCAGAGTGGATGGTACGGTTTTTGAACTGTGTTACGTTTGAGTGTGAAGAAGATGCGAGTGCTACAGATTCATAGTCGCAAAGACGGGGCCGTTGCACACGCTATCGCCGTCTCTTACATCAAACGCACCTCATTTCTTTGGCCGTCTGACGTTTCTCTCAGCACTAACTATCTCATTGAACGCAACGGCGTCCAGTCTCTGCGTGCGATGGACAGTCCATACCTGCACATTTCTGTATAGATTTCTCATTTGGTAATCGGGCCGTACAGATATCAGTAGAAGTTTCGAAGGCTCGTTTAGTGCTCGAATTTGAGAACGAAACTTTCTATCATTGAAGGGACCTTCCACTCTGTGTTGGGGGTTTTGAGCTTTTGGTAGTTTACGATAGTAGGACTCCCTACCAAGCCAATGCTCAAGTCGCAAAATATCGTTTTGGAAGCGGGAAAATCGCTTCGGAATAGCGAAGAGGCATGGGGACCCCAAGGCGCATCGCTCCTTTCCACTAATGCCCTCCCCTCTGTGCGCGCCCTATCACCGTTCCGGAAAATCAGCCAGGGGGTTCTTCGGGACGGAAATTGTCATAGTTTCTGCCGATTCTCTTCTCAATCGAAGTCAGGAACACGAGAAGGCACCGAAACGACTGGAAGTCGAAATCTGGATGGACAGTGCTTTTGAGACAAACTTTAGTCTCGGTAGCACTGGCTGAGAATCACTGCTCATATGTTTCCAGATTAAATTCCTCACGAAGATCTGGCATCCCAACATAAGCTCACAAACAGGCACCATCTGTCTCGATATTCTGAAAGATCAATGGTAAGATTTGAGAGTCCTTTCCATATGGTTTAGACCTTGCTGAAATCATTTACGCTCTTATTTTGAAGACTTTATTTCAATAAATCATTCAATTGCGTCTACATTTCAGGGCCGCCTCTTTAACTTTACGCACTGTACTTTTGAGTATACAAGCTTTGATGTGTTCACCGGAACCCAAAGATCCTCAAGATGCTGTCGTTGCGAAGCAGTACATGTCAAATCCTTCGCTTTTCAAGGTATGTTGTTTCTATCAGTTTGTGCACAAATGGGTGGGAGTAAGTTCAAAGTGCAGTTCAGATGTCTGTTAGCATAGTTGAGGGGTGTTTTTTTGTCCGCCTGTTCAAGTCAAGCGTTTTCGTTCCAGATCCAAAGCCATATAATTCATTAAGATTAGACTAGTATGCTTTTAAATTAGCTATATGGCTATCAGAAACATCTGTACTGCTAACTTTTTCTCGAAGGTTAGGCTTGCCTTTGTTTATTGAGTATACAGTCGAGTCACATCATAGGATCGTATGTTGCACACAATGTGCGCTTAGTCCCATCCCCTCTCCACCCTGGATTTCTTATTGCAAAAACACAAGAACCGACCCATATGAACTTGCGACCTCAAAAGGGAGAAAAAACAATGAAAAACCCGAAAATACTCAGCTGGAGAGGAGTCTGCTTTGAAAGTGCAAAATGGAGACGCTATAGTACAGGGGTTATCAATTGCAGAGTTGGGTTCACCACCATTTCCGCTCCCGCGTGGCCGCCTTGCCTGGGTTCCACACTTATTAAACATGCTCTTTTCTTATCATCTTCGCACGCTCAGTCGTAGATTGAAGCTCCGTCTTCCTCACTTTCGTGGTGGGAATTTGAGAGCATGTTCGCGAAAGAAGTGCCGTGTCCAAGCGTAGCCGCGCGCGAGGGAAGATGCTGGTTCACCTGACTCTGCAGTTGATAAGTCATGTATGTGGCAAAGCGCGGATTCTGAAACATTAACGCAAGCTGACATTCGAACACATCAGTAGAAGTTTCTAGGTCTTAAACACATGCCAACTTTCAAGCGACATATAAGAGTGTTAATAGATCATAAATGACTAATAACGCGCTGTTATAGTTGTGAGGTGTACAGTCCGTGTCAGTCACGTGCTCCCTTTTCGGTAAAAGCAGTGAGCTTCGCGCCACCTTCTCGCGCGTATGACTCGGGCATTTGAGTGGGCCTTATCGATTGAAGGTCTGCATGCGGGACCCTTGCGTTGCGCATGCGTAGTTCCCATGCGAAAGGGAGTACGTAATTGACATCGACTGTAGCTATAGTTTTTCCTGTGAGGTATTCCCATTGTAGAACGAAGTGAAACCTCTTCTGACCTTGTCGGCTAGCCAAAAGGTTAAAGTCCACTGATTCTGATTTTGTAGGTTTTGAGCGATTCGGGCTTTATTTGTGCGCTTTTTGAATGAGTATATATACCCAATTTTTATTGAAAGGACGTGCATGCATACAGAGTTTCGCTAAAAGATCTTTTGTAAATTTTTGCGGTAGCTGTTTGTCCATTGCATTAGTTCGCTAAGAATAGAGTCTCAACAACTCATCTTTTGCGGTTTATTGTGGGGTCATGATTTCAATATAACAAAACATAATGATAGCTAGTGTGGGTAAGCTTAACATACTCAACATCGCTGTTATATTTGATTTGTCTCTGGAGTGTAGCTTTTGTTTGATATCAGAATTGTAGACGTGCGAGTGGAAGTCTTGCAGATTTGAATGAAGGCCATAATCCTTTCTATGGGTTGTTGTGCATATTTACGCCAAATTCATATTTTAGGAAACAGCTGTGTTTTGGACTATAAAGTATGCTAAAGGCAAGGCCGAAGAGAATCACCAATACCGCGAACGCGTGGAAAAACTTCGCGATATGGGTGTGACAGAGGTCGTATCTATTGGCAAGACTCGTTGTGATTTAGTCGGTTTTATTGCAGGATGAGGCAATCTCAGTGCTAAGCTGCAACAACTGGGATCTCGCTAAAGCAACAGATTACATTTTTTCATGAATTTGTGATTTTTTTTTCACAAGCTGGACATCACTCTCCAAACAACCTTTACTGGTCCTGTGTTTCCATCTTTACTAGGGTTGATTACCAATGGGTTAGATCAATGCAATTCGATGTCAAGAAAATTCCATCCTGCTGAATTTGTAATCCATAAAAACCTTGCTCATTCTTATCCTTCATCGTTTCAAGAACTGCACCAGCTGTTTTATCTTTTCCAGTCCTTTATGATTGTTTTAATCCGCTTGCATGTGTACCGGTCAGTCTCGGTCATTTTCACCACCAACAGGTGTGTGAACTACACTTTCAAAGTTCACCCGCCCATAACCCTTCATCGGGTTTACTAGGAAGCATCTCGAGTTTCCTCTACTTTCGTCTATGTCTTGGTTCATTAACGCATTCAGTCATAAATATTTATTAGTTTTGAAGTGTTTTGTGAAGTTTATTGGTTCGGTCCAATTTTAACTTATGTGTCTCTTCTGGTGGTGAGCGGCATTGGAAGGGTTCCATAGACTGACTGCATCTCTGATAAGATAAGTGCATTTTACAAGCCTTACTCTTCAAACCGCTCATGACAGTTCGGAGTGTTTGAATACAGTTAGGCCCTGGCCAGACTTCGCTCAAAAGCGCCCAAAAGCGCGCAGAAGCGCTCAAAAGCGCCCAAATTTCTCTGGTGTCTCTTCACTTTCTCGTGAGGAGAGATGAGAGAGAGTGAGGAGAGGTTAGAGACATTTGGGCGCTTTCGGGCGCTTTTGAGCGAAGTCTGGCCAGGGCCTTAACCACGACGAAGAAATTTGCTCTTTTGTTTTTAAGTACTGAATATGGGCAATAGTATAGTAGGCGGCTCTTCTTTCTGACTTAGTTGTAAACTAAATCTTCGTTCTGTTCTGCTGATGGTTTTTATCAATGTGTATTGGTGCTTTTTAGCATCATGCCAAAAGAAACCAAAACCACGGAGTGCACTATGGAGAAGAAGTTGAAGCCGTGTTGTGCATGTCCGGAGACCAAAAAGGTGGGCGTTGTTTCATCGCCGAAAGCGGTATCCCAAGCGAGCCCTATGTCTTCATCGGCATTCTGTATACAGCAGAGAGATGAGCAAGATCAGAGGCTGTCTTAATGTGAGCGTCAACGCATCGCAGGTTCACAGAATCGCTGCCTCAGGCTGTGCGCCGCGTTCGTGAACGCATTTTCGCTTCACGGAAATTGTTCAAAGATACACTCGTGCACACGTCGCAATACCTAGGTAGGCGGCCATGCGGACCCGAGCCGTTGGGCCTTTGACGCTCAAATTGAGACAGCCTCTATCTTCTCTCAACTTACGAATTGTTGTGAGCTGTGACACTTTTTTGTTCCGTTCAATCTGTATGTCTGAATGCTTCAAAAATTTTTGCTAAAGAAAAGCTTGCAAGATTTCTGATCTCCAACTCAATCTTTGGGGTAGAGGACTATATGTCGCCGAAAAAGGGCGGTCCCGCGGTCATTTGGGACAAATACGCACCCTTGTGCATGCGCGGGCATGCGTTCCTGCAGGGAATCCGCGCGGGACTCTTCCAAATTCGGCGACATATAGTCCTCCACCCCAATCTTTGCATATCGTATCAGACAGTTTGATGCATGACGACTTTTTCATGTATGTTTTGTGGCGAATATCGCAAATTTCGTTTATTAAGGCTCGAGATCAGTGCATAATGGAAAACGGTGAAGAAAAATGTGGCAAGTTCATCGAAGCTCACAAGAAATGCTTACGAGATGCAGGATTTGATGTATAGAAGTCTTCGAAGCGGTATTCTACATCTTACCTCTAGTCTCCATGCTTTCGAGTGAGCCTTGCATCTCATGCTTGTTGTTATTTGCTCACCATTGTTGCCTTTGATTTTTTTTTGTCAGGATAGGTTTTCTTTGTTGATATTGTGTTTCGTTAACATATAGGACCAGATCGCTAGTTCATATGCTCGGTGCGTGTACCTTCTCCAACTGATATTGGAGTTATATAGTTCCCTGCAGTTTCAGTCAATAAAATTTTGATTAATCATGTTTTGTGCTGATGGCGGGTTTGCATGACCTTTATCTTGCTCTCGAAAAGACAAAGCCGTTATTTTTGTTTTGGGATTCATTTATAGTATTTAGAGCCGGAAATTTGAAAGATTTTTGCTTTTTTTGCTTCTAAGGCGAGTCCCCGCTTTCAAGACGACAGTTAGTTCTTAAAGGTCACTTGATCATCCTCAGGTGCGCTTATCTTCATCTTCTACTTAGACTCATTATTTTTTGGCAACTTACTGAGTTTATTTCCACAGGTTTTTGTTGCAATTTGCCGATCTCCCCTTTTTAGCGCTTCTCCTGCATCTCGTCTAAAATGCCTCCCATAAGTGATCGAGGTGCGTTGGAAGCTCACATATTGAATCAGGAAATTGTTAGACTTGATACTATGGCTAAACAGAAGATTGACTATATCAAGTAGGTTGTCAGTTTGGCTTATGCAAAACTTGTATTTGCGGTATCCAGAGAGAGCGTTCGCAGTGAAAAAGCTCTGCACGATGAAACACGCGAAGCAAAGGAGTTGTTAGCTTCACTGGCGAGCAAGATCGACATGCTCAAAGCAGTTACATCAAGAGTAAGTCTTTCGAGAGCGCAGGGTTCTTTTTTTCGAAGAGGGCGAATATCACATCATCGAGCAATAGATTTTATAGTCAACATACAGTCTTATCTTGAAATCCAGCGTTCGCTAGAATAGACCTATGGGGCTCCCTTTTTCGTCTGGTCTGCGTAACATTCGATGTTGCAGGGAATTAAAGGCAGCGTCCAGTGGCCGTATTCATCAACGAAACCCGTGGGTTCCGGAACCCACTGGGTTAGTGCTTTTGATGAATATCGATTCTTCCTTGGAGTAGAATCGATATTTATCAAAAGCACTAACCCAGTGGGTTCCGGAACCTACGGGTTTCGTTGATGAATACGGCCACAGGCAGATCTGAACCTATGGGGATTTTACGTGGAAAGTACTTTTGGGGCCCTAACTAAGGCACTGGCCAAACGGCAGCGCATGTAGTACTCCAGCGGCTGAGATATTCCCCTAGAAACTGGAGCCCGCGATCGTATTCGCATGGATTCATGGCAGTTTTGCGGCAGGATCAACGCTTTGCGTCATGAATCCATGTGAAATACGATCGCGGGGTCCAGTTTGAAGGGGAATATCTCAGGCGTTAGGGCACTACCTGAGCTGCCGATCAGGCAGTGGCTTAGTTAGGGCCCCGAAATTACTATCCACGTGAGGTCCCCATGTGTCCGGACTTGCCTGGACGCTGCCTTTAATGAGCTGGAACTGTCATGCGATTAGCTTTTTTGGCGCGTTCGTCTTACTAGGACTTAGTTTGACTGATAAAATTCACTTGTTCTGATGTAATTTGCGTGACTATAATTAAAATTGCAAAAAAAGTATTCTAAACTGTGTGCTTAGATTTTTTATCCGAAAATTCTTGATGCTTGCGTTGTTTTCAATTCTTCCCCTCGTTTCAGTCGATATACTCAACAATAGTTTAAGAGTGTTTTTAGAGATCATTCACAGTATAAATAGAGCTGAAAGTATAGCCATTCGAATAATCGTGACGATGGCGCGACCACGCGCAACACGCGCGTACCTCGCGCAGGAGGGGGGGTATAGTGAGCATGTTGAAGGCAGTGTCCGGGCAGAAAGTCGGTTTTGAGATTTTGGGCCTACCCGGTTCGATTCTCTGTGCTAAGCCAGAAAATCCACATTGGAAAGCGCGAAAATGGCGAAAAAGGGCTCTAACGCAGAAGAAAAATCAGAAGTGGGCGGGGTCTTCTACACGAATTTCGCGGCCCCAGCTTCTGGAGCGATCTTCTCAATCCGCTAGCGTCCTGAGATCTCGCCAGGTGAATGCATGACTTGAAATCGGAACCGAGAAGAACGCTCCGGAAGCTTGGAGCGTGAACCCACACTTCAAAAGACCCCGCCCACTTCTGATTTTTCTCCTGCGTTAGAGCCCCTTTTCGCCGTTTTCGCGCTTTCCAATGTTGATTTTCGAAGTCAGCATAGCGAATAGGCCCGAGTAAGCACAAAATCTCAAAATCGACTTTTTGCCCGGATACTGCCTTTGATTATGGAAATATTATTGACAGGGCGGGTGGAGCCGCTGTTGCCAGTCAGCGAGTAATAATGCCTTTTAGTTGTCATCAAGAAGGGAGCAGCAAAACGTTCGCGAAAGTGCTGAGCGGCATGGCAAAGAGTTAACCGAGAATCAGCATCAACTTCGCAGTGCTACCATTCAGGCAAGAAAGTCCATCAGTAAGTGAGCAACTTTAGAATGCAGATTTTGTTTACATTTTTGTAAAAGTTTGAAGCCTTAAAGGCAGTGTCTCGGCAGAATTTCGTTTTCCGTTTTTCATCTTTCCGAAGCCTTCACGCCATGAGGAATCCATATCTGGGCTTTTCAGCGCTGAAAATGGCGAAAATGAGTTTTTTCCAAAGCTTTTCAGGTTCGTATTTAATGAAGATGCACCTGAAGCCTTTCGCATCCCGCCTCCCTCGTTCCGGTTTCGGTCCACTTACATGTATTCTCCACTGAAGGGGACCTGGGAATTTTCGGAAAAAGCTCATTTTCGCCATTTTCATGGGCTGAAAAGCCGGAATATGGGTTTTATGGCTCCGAAAAAGTAAAAAAAAATGGAAAATGAAATTATGGCGAGACACTGCCTTCAAGTGCCTCAACTGAAGGCTATATGTGCTGCCATTTCAGACGAATCGGCTCGTTCATTGCTACTTGAAGGAGGCTCTGAGGAGGCGGAACGAAGAAAGCGGTTAATGGACGAAAAAAGCTTGAAAGAGGATGCTGTGAAGGTAAGTCATTCCACATGGATTACGTTACGGTCTTTCCAACATCCCTTTCTCTTTTAGACTACTGAGCGTTTGTCAGATTTGTTATCAAAGATGGGTGAACAAGTGGCGCAAAGTGAGCAGACGATGGATAGCTTAGTTCACTCTAGCTCAGTACTGGTGCAGACCCACAAGGAGTTTGAGGGTCATGCAAGCCATATCCAGGTGAACGAACTTACTCTTCTTCCAGCTAAGATTTCTTTATCTCTTCTTAGACTGGCAACAAGCTTTTGTCCAAGTACGAGAGAAGGGAGATAACAGACAAGATCTTAGTCACTATAGCACTTGTATTCTACTTCGCGGTTATCTATTACATCCTCCAAAAAAGAGTCTTCTCTAAGATTTGGTTCTGGTAATTATGGTGCTTGATGCATAATGTTGTGCCTCAATATACACTGTGATATAATTTTTGTATAAATTTGTTGTAGTTCAATCAAAACTTATTATCAAATGAAGTTATTGCATGAGTCAAAGTGCTAGATACTGTGATCGCTTCCTACTGCTGGGTTACCAGAGATTAGTCTTGATCACTAGTTATGGAAGTTGACGATGCCCCAGTCAAAATGCAGGATATGGTGCGAGAATATGCTGAGTTGTTGAGGCAGTCAAATGACGAGGTAATTCCGATGCAAATCTTCTCAGCTTAAAAACCTTCTTCAGGATGCAAAACGCATGGTAACTCGTGTTGAGGGAATCCTCGAGGCTACGGATGACTCAGGTCGAAGCACACCTCACTTTGCTGCGGTTGGCGGCTGCATGCCGATACTGCAGTTGGCCATCTCACAGAACAAAGCTGCTGCAAATCGAACTGACGATGTAAGTTTTATCTCAGTTCTTGTAACCACAGGGAGCGAACTTTGGGAAATAGCGGCAGGTTACTGACATTTCTAATTTCGGTGTAAATGCACTCTTATATGAATGGAGGTGTAAGGCCCTCTGCCGGACGCATGCGGGAAATATATGGAAGCGAAGCGGCTGCGAGCGCGTTTTGCCTGTGGGGTGGGGCACACTATGCGCATAAAGAGCGCGCCATTTTGGCCAGCGCAGCAAATTCAATGGCCAGCTTGTGATGTTAAATCTCTGCAGGTTTTTTTTGATATCAATCGATGGAGGTATTGTTGTCATCGGGAGGCACAACAACTAGCTTGACATAGATAATAATTCGAGCGTTAGTCCCGACAATTGTGCTTACACCTCTCACACAGACCTTCAAACAAGGAGGGGAACGGAAGAGGAAGGTACTGCTGCGTTGGAGTGGTACGAAACTGTAGGAAAAGTATTTTCCTCGCTTTGTGTTGGTTTATCTGGAGTGAATTGTTTGCGATTAAAGACAGCCTCCCTGCAAGATGATAAGTGATTTAGAAGCATTGTGGCAGATCCCCCGATTAATCTATCATTGAACTCTGGAGAAAAAAGGCGCTTTTGGAAAGTCTAAAATAAACTCTGGAAAGTCTTTCGGACCCCGCCCTTCCTTCCGGATTCGCCCATACACGTATTTTGCAGCGGCGGATGCGGACAAAGAGAACTTTGAAAAAAGCTTATTTTCGCTATTTTCGAGCGCTGTAAAGCCCGAGGTATGGGTTTAGCATGGGGAGAAGGGTATGAAAAGATGAAAACTGAAGACCTAAATTTTGCGGAATACTGCCTTAAAAAATGATAGATTTTTGAATTCTTTGAAAATGCTAATAGACATTGTAGAAAAGTTGTTTGGAGGGAACTATAAATTTTTGAAACGGAAGCATATATTAACTTTCCCTCTGTGAGTGGTGGCTGTGTATTCATCCAGATTGAAAACAATATAGTTACAAGTAAATAGTTATCTTCCAAATATCCCGCCCTTTTTTCTTCCATCTTGAGCTCTTTCATCGGTTTACAAATTCTCAAGTTAGACGTGCATACCTAGATATGAGCCTTGGCGAGTGATGTGACTGATGTGATCCAACAAAAGAAAAAGAAAAAGAGGGAGAATTCGGGGCCGAAGAGTAGACTAGAGACCCTCTCTGAGGTATTATCGCATTGCTTGCAGCCGAAAGACTTTGTGCTTTATTGACTTACACTTTTTCAATCGCTATTCAGTAACGCGCATGCTCTGCCAATGCTTCGCGCTCTTCTTGATTTTTATTTACAAGTGTGCTCTTGTTTGATCTACATCTCAGAAACTGTCACTAGGTTATTTTTGACTCTCTGTCCTTTCGACTAATGGGTAAAAACTCGCAGTATTCTTTGCGGGCGCTCGAAGAGATTAGAAGCCTGGCTTTAGGGACTTATACGACTATTTGTGATAATCAGGTCGCCCAGAAAGTAAGTGGGCATAGTATCTGATTTCACAAACGTTGGTGTATGTTTTTCGCTGTTTTCATTATTTTGTTTTCCCATCAAATTTTGGCTAGCTCATTGTCCACTGCAAATTGCAGTTTTCTCTCTCATGACTTTCACAATGTACAGAAACTCCTGTCTGTTCCACTCATTTGGCTAGTCCTTGCTCTATGAACTTGTACTCTCATATATTTCTGATGTGCAATGACGCTAGTAGCTTTTAGTGGTGGATAAATGCATTCCTAAGAGCTTTTTAATGTATATGTAACGGTTCATCGGATGCCATAGTAACGTCTGCAGGAGATTGTGGCCAGTGAAGCTCCTTTCTCCCGTGTTTCCTTCATGTTTTTTCAACTGTTTGTTCAGAAAATCAGGCAAACTTTTTTCTCAATTAAATTGATGAAATGAAAATGAAATCTTTTTCTGTATTTTGAGATTGTTACATAATGCTCTCACAAATTCTCACAATATTAACTAGACATTTCTCAAATCCACTTTGTTATTTTTACACCGAATCCTATTATGTTAAGTCACCCGTAACTTCGCACAGTTCCATCTTTTTCTTTCTGTTTCAGTCTTGCGTTCATCTTCAAAGGTATTCGATTTATCGTGTTCCGCGAAACGTTTGTTCGCGGAACACGATAATTTTTTTTCTCGAACGACGTGAGGGCTTCTGAACATGTATTTGATGCCCCTTTCCTTCTCCTTCCGACAAACACGTTTTGGAACTATAATTTTTCTTCAACCCTATCTAATAACTGTCAAAATTCTTTGCCTTTATTAGTATAGTTTTTTATCTGTTTATCTATTTATTTATTTATTTATTTGTTTATTTATTTATTCATTTATTTAGTATATGCCCAAAGTGTTGGCTAATATTGAGGAAATTTTCGGTGAATGTATATAATTCAAACAGAGCAAAGTTGGGCTTTACCTCAGTTTTATTAGATTCTTTCGGTCCGCTGGTTGGGCTTCACCAAGCATCTCTTCGGAGATCATTATTTTTGGTTAAGATTTAAAACACACAAACGCAGCAAAAGCATGAAGAATGAATTTTCGGTCGAATTGAAGCTGACTCTTACAATCATTGAACATCAACATCGACAACTGACTATCATCATTTGTAAAAGGACCAATCTGGGCTTTGAAGGAATGCGCTAAATCAAGCAGTTATTGCTGACTTTGAGGTTTGACCTATGTCTCTTCAAAAGGCTAAGGTGAAATTTCAGTTAGGGGAAATTTGGCATTATTGTCAGACTGCACAAGAGCCTGCGATGACATCGCAAAGATTACATAGAGCAGCGATAATGCAGCTGTAAGAAAAAAGCTGAAGTTGTGAAGAGTGGTACCTGAGCCGTTCATCTGTCAGTCCTGAGTTTTAATGATCGATCAAGAATACAGACCAAACTTTGGAGACAACTTACTATATTTAGATGCATACTTAATTTGTTGGTTTCTTTTTATGAAATATTGCAAACACTTATTTGTGCTAGTAATCGAAGTTTATTAAATTCATAAAGTTAAACAACTTCAAAAGAATTTCTTCACACATCTGCTGGAGTTTGAAACTAGCTCCTAAAAATTCGAAAAGCATCCCAGCCTCCCCTCTTCGTCTAAAGATTTGAATTGTCCCATCCCTTAAATTTTCTGTGAACGCCCTACCATGTGACTCCAATTGTTGTTTATCCTGGTTTTCCCGCTCCAGGGAGTCCCGCGTTTTCTTGGGTTGACTCCGAATTGTTGTTACCATTTATTTTTTGTGTTTAAAAGTTATGAATTATCACAGAGAAATTGAATTAATGTTGAATAATTCTTGCTTATAGCTGGAGATAACATGAGATATTGCTTTATTCATATTGATTAGAATGGTGAAATCAAACAAGCGCTTATGCGCTAGAGCATTCGAAGTATGAAGATCGACTGCAAGTTTGATAAAATGCCGGAGCATTTTGATTCCGGCGTTTCTGAATTCATAGACTATCTTTGTCATTGAAAATGGCGCCTGGGGAAAACTTTTTATGAACGGGTGTGTTCGCCTTGGTAGGGAAGCTGCGTTGTCAACAATGCTTTATGGACTGGTGTTATGCTTTGCGTGCTGAATAAATCTCATGGCTGCAAAAAACATAATGCTTCATCATTCTAGATTTGATACTTTTCCAAATGTCATGCTATATGTGATTTTTTAGATGGGATGGACTCCTCTAATGATTGCCGCGTCCGCCGGGCGTGTCGAAGTGGTGCGATATCTCCTCACTCTCCCAGAAGTAAGCCTCTTTCTTGAGATAAGATGTTCAAACTATATCCGTCGTCTTCAACGTTCTTGCTCAAGATCTCTCAGGGTTCTATTTTATTACCGAGCAAAATCGCGAACCCTTCAAAAATTTCAGTGACTGTCACTGGTATATTGTGAGCTTTCTTTAGCCTGCTAAATTTTTATAGTCCAACTACATAATCAGTAATGGTAAAGATGGTGTTTTGAATTGAATATCGGAATCGGAGCCAATTCTTGAGAATATCAACTTTAAACAGTATAAGTGGAAATGTATATTGAAACACTATGCTGTGAGCACTTTTATGGGCATCTCCTAGACGACGATTATCTCTGCATAAGATTGTGGTTCTTACCATGGTTATTCAGGTTGACGTCAACCATAGAAATAACAATCGACAAACTGCACTCCATTACGCTGCAAGTAAGAACCACGCGGAGGTAATTTTTCCTACATACTTTATGCGCTTTGTCCTAGTGCTTCAAAGCAGTCAGCATAATCACGCATTTGAGGGGATCTCCATGTTTGAGACGTCACATCAAAAAGTAATTGGTATGGTAGAAAGTAGCAATTGCAGTAAAATTAGCTGATTGAATATGGTTAAGAGTTCGTCTCAACATTAAGCATATCCAATCGTCTTTTTTGCATAAGAAAGCAAAGGCAAAGTCCTCGGCAAAAAGCATGGATTCCAGATTTTGTTGATAGTCTATGAGCCCTTTCGCTGTACAATAGAATCATGACCATTTGATAGAGAATGAAAAGATGCATCAAATGGTATCAAGATCTATAATCGTTTACCCAGCGACTTGTGGCCGCTGTTCAAAAAGCGAAAATATCAGGTTGTTGCAAAAATAATGTCCGTTTTGGTCTTTAATCTGGAAGGCTACGACTTTGTCCATTCTTTATATTTTTGAATGCAGTCAATACCGTCAGAAACAGTAAACCCTTTGTAACTTACCGCGCGCCTGCTCACACTGATATCGCGAACCGGAAGGAAACCATGCGTCAAAAAAGTGGAAGTTTTTCTTTTGAGCTCGTATTTGAAAGCCTGCAACCCCCTTCAACTTTTGTTCCTATGGCTGGCAATCAATTTATTTTATAGCCGCAGGCCAACAGTATCGTGTGTATATAAAAGAATCCAACGAAGGAGTTATGCGAAAATCTCTATATTTGTAAAGCAGAATTATATGCACATTTTTCGTACTGCAGGGTGTGCAGAGTGTGCAGGGTGGGGGGGGGGGGAGGGGGGAGGTTAGACTGATAGACTGGCTCCAAACCGGGGTGAAACCCGGCTGCCAGCTCATAAAAGATAAAATTCCAAAGATGCTTTTGAGCCTATTTGTTGTAGGCTTGTAAGTGCCAAATCATGGAAATTTTTCGCGCACTGAGTAGCTAAGTTTTTCTTCAAATATTTTAGTTAAGGTGTGCTAATTTCAAGCTTACAGAAATTGCCGAACCTTTGGGCCTTAGTCATGAGAAATTTTTGACCTATATAATGCCAGAAGCGGGTATCTATCTTGAGGCATCAATTTCTCAGTTCAGATATGTCTAAAAATCTACCTAAGCATGCAGTAGGTAAACAATCTTCAATTAATACAATTGCTATGTTTTTAGAAGAATTCGTTTATTTGCTCCTGAATTGTGGTCAAGAAAGTGAAAGCTATGAGATTTCGATTTTGAGTCGATGTCAAAAATGCTGGTGAAATTCTCATAGACGAAAATAGAAGCCTAAATCCATCACCGTTAGAAAGTACATGAAAAGAGCTTTTCAATGATATGCAGAATCTATATCGTAACGACAGCTTGATGGAAAAGTTGTTTGAAATTTAGGCCTAGAAAAACGGACATTCTTTTTGCAACAGCCTAATACTTTCGGGACAGCCTAGTATTATCATTACCTAATTCTTTTTCTTATGCAGGTTTTTGGATTGAATGCCTGTCACTTGCTGTCAAATCTTAACACGTTGACGACGAGCCATTTTTCCGAGGTCTGTCCCTGTGGAAGAAGCGTTTCCGTGCATCCCTACGCCTGGCCGCATGTATGTATGCATGCATCCATGCACCAAATATGAAATGTGCAAGCCAGCCCCATGTGGCAAGCTCCGCCAACCCGAGCGAAAATCTCGGAATTTGCCAAATTTTAAGAATTCATGCGAATCTCGCCACTTTTGAAAAAGGTGGAGGTCACTTACTGTTAGGGGACGGAGTTTGCGTGGCGGTGGGCGGGGCCTGGCTAAAAGTTACTTAAGGTCTTGCGCTTATCTACGGCCTCACCCATGCTTTGAACAAAAAGGGTCTTTGTGAGAAGCATGGGAGTGGGCGGAGTTTTTCAAAAGGGGCGGGGCTAATATAGTGTGGACCCCGGCCAGGTTCCCATAGGTACTTCCGCAGCGCGCACGTAGCGCGCGCCCTTCTCAATGCCTCTTGCCTCACTCATGAGCAGTGGAGCATATTTATGCTCACAAAGGAGAAAAATGTAATGTGGAAACCTCTAGGTTCCCTACGAAAGAGAAGTATGCAAGAAGGCAAGTTCCATGAATATCTCAAATTCAATCAATGGATGCATATTCCAAACTTGCACTGATGGATAGGTTGTAATAGCTAAACGTAGAAAAATTAAAGAACAACAGCATTCTTAAAACATTACTCTTCGTAGATAGAAACTAGAGTGGTCAAAGATTCCAAAAAAGTGGATATTTCAGTAAACAAATGCCTACTGGCTTCTCGGAAGGCTCAATTTTGACTTGAAACACTGTCTACACCTTACACATCAAACGGAAGGGGACTCTTATTATATACAAGAAGCTTTTGAAAAAATATTATCTCACTATCCAATCAAATCTCAATTTTTCAGAGAAAAAAGGGAAAACACAAGACTACTACACAAGACTGAAGCTCTTAGAACTGTTAGAGCACGTATAATCTCGTCACCGGTCATCGCGAATTGTTTATACCTAAAATAGAGAGAATATAGTACACCAAAAACAAAAAAAAAGAGAAAGAAAGGAGGATTTCCATGAGGTGCCCTATCTGGCCCCCCCCCCCCCCCAACAAAGGCAGGGACCGTAATCAGGCTGTTCGTGCAGGGACCCGAGCGCGGTTTCTCCACGGTCCTTTAAACTTTCATGCCCCGTCTCAGTGAATCCCGTCAGTACTCAACAGCTGGATTTTCGCCAATCCGAAGACTGCGTTTCTGATTTCAAGCTCCTCCCACAGCCACTTGTCAACTGTTGAGTCGCCCCACTTCGTCATTGGCATGATGTCGCTTCATCCGTCCACGGTTAATCTCCTCTGACATGTGTCATACATACCACTACATTGTTTCTGCTCTTGTACCTCCAGTACGTGCCATGAAACTTCTTGTTTCCGTAAGTGTTCGAATGAACTGATGGAATGTGTAAGTCAAGAAGCTCAAGTCTCGCATTTTTCAGCCATTCCTTTACAAATTGGTGCATAGGTTTCATATTTTCATGTCATTTACTTTGCAGTACTCACTGATGTCTTCACGTGTGAAAAATCAGTGCAAAATTCAGTCCAGTCTTGATTAATCTCAACAAAACTTGAAACTCTTACGCGTAGTTACAAACATCGTATCAGCTTTGATTTTTGTTGCTTGGTGTTTTGCGTCGATGTTTGTACTCACGCGTAGGAGTTCCTAATTTTGTTAGGACTGAACAAAATTGGCCTGAATTTCCGCACTAATTTTCGATAGGAGGTTATAAAATTTTGAAGACGTAATGATCATTTTCATGGCGACTAATCTGTGATTTGGATCCTGCCAGGGAAAACAGACCCAAATAGCTTCAAGCGACCTCCGATTCCAAAACCCTTTACTAGTCATCTTTAAACAATGGAGTGTCAATCAGAACCCACAAGTTCTGATTATTTTGATTATACTTGCGATGGGTTTATAGTAGTAAAATTTCACAAAAGGTATTCTATTGGCATTTGAAGAGATTACCGTGACTTGGTAGAGCGATACTCTCGTTTGATAGGAAGGTAGCACCTCAAACCGCATTTAGCAACATGTAAGATTCATAGCTTTGGCTTGATGTTACTTAACGTTGATACTCTGTTCCGGAATGAAGCTATGAACTTAGCGACAAATTTGAAATCAGCGCTGAGATCACATCCCCCTGATTGCAAGCATGTGTCTAGGTCGAGTCACTGCTCTAAATTTGCAAACCATACTGCAATCCTTTCTGATCAACCATGGAGTCTTACTTTGCAGTAAAGAGTAAGTCTAATCCGCACCGCGCAAAAAAGCTCTATTGATTTTGACAACAGACGCAATGTTCTTTTCTACCCATGTTCTATTCTCTCTAACGATAGGAAACGGAGAATCAATGAAGGAGACAAATTTTTGCCTGTTTGGACATACACCTGTCTTTACTGCACAGATCTTTACCTTACTGCCTGCTCAAATTCCAATGTTCAATCCATAGTTGTGATGAAAGTAGACTGATTTTCCCTTTACCATCTGACACAGAGTCATATGAAGCAAACTGATGAATTTGCTTGGCAACTATTTAGGCGCCGAAAAAACGTTTGTTAACAATTCCAAACTTCTTTCATGCTTAATGTAATGAGTATAGGATGTACGCGTCGCCTTTGAGTCGTACTGAGCCGAATATGAAGGGCGGCGGGCCGGTGCTAGCCAAGTATAATTGTCTTGGAAAGATATTATAAAGAGCAAGTTTCTCAGATAGTAAGATTACCCTACGTAAAACAAAGTAACGGCCTTGCTGACAGTCAATTGATTTCGACGCAAGACGGAAATTAATATGTTAACTAAGGCAACGCTATACTGCTTCAAGTCACAGAACGTCTCAATGACCTTCTTCCGTGAATCTGCAGCGCAGAAAAGGATTTTCTGCCAGAACACTTGTCTCCTCAAACCTTTGAAGCAGATGCTTTTGAGCAATTCCCCGACGAATTCACTTAGAAGAATTTACTAAGCCTTCGTGGAAACAAACAAAGAATTAGATCAGCATATGATACATATAAAATGAGAACAAATTGTCAGGATCAAGTTTGAAAATTCAGGAAATCCTCTCTTTCGGTTCCATGATTACGACCGAACTTCCGCGAATTACTACCATTCCAAGAGACACAGGATCACCGTTTTTCGGGGTATTCAATAGCGTCCTGAATTGTTGATTTATGCAAATCTAGACAAACTGACTCATGCTCCGTCTTTAAAACGGTGTGATATTCACTTTCAGTCAGTTAGTCTTTCAAAAGGCTCACGAAAACCTTTAGTCTATTCCGGGTTTGGTTAAAAAAGGAAGTTTGGAGTATGAGGGCTCCAAATCTTTCAGGTCAGCCTATGGTAATCTACGATTACCATAGGCTGTCATTACATGTGAGCCGTTTGATTTGTAAACTAGAAAATAGCTGATATGTAGACTGAATGAAAGCTTTAAGGAATTGGATGGACTGGTTGAAGTCCAAGATTCCGTAATAATAATGGGCCATTCTCGTCTAATCATCTCTTGACTCACTTCAAAGCCAAAAATGTTGACAGACAGAACTCTAACCTCGATAACCATGTTCATGAAAGGATCGAAGCCTCTAAGAACACCTGATACACGACGATTACCATTGAGCTTCAAGTCCATCTCCTTATCCATCTTCTTCAACTCTGGCGGATGTGTTTTGCTCATTTTCTGCAAGCAAAATTCTTGTTGAATATTCGACCCGCTACAAACGGCATCAGATCACGAAGACAGACAGCACACAAAATATGGTTGAAACTACTGATAAAGAACAAAGGCATGGGATCCAGAGAGGAATTCCTTGTAAGCAGATACACTCACGTTAAAGATGTTCAGAAGTGCAGATGTATCAGTTGCTCAATCGGTTTAAAGGACAGTGAGAAAATCGCGATCGGGTCCCGGCACGAACAGCCTGACTACGGTCCCTGCCTTTGTTGGGGGGGGGGGCAGATAGGGCACCTCGATTTCCATCAGAAGCTAAGACACAGACGCACTGAAAACGTGCGTTGCGGGTGCGTCGCGCAGGTACCTATGGGAAGCTGGCCGGGGTCCACACTATACATGAAGTACGTCTGAGCCTATGTTGATTATATATGAATAAATACTGAGAGGATTGGACAGATAGTATTGCAATCTGGCCGCCGCGCACCAGTGCGCGGCACTGTCGTCAGCGTGTTAAAAAATTATTGAAGCACAGTGCGTCATGTGCACTACAAAAACTACCAATCTGTCCCGTACATACAAGAAGTAGAAATGTTATATACTTATCCACACGGTGTGACGACACTTGTATGATTTTTTCGATTGAATATTTGGATAGAGATGTAGTAATTTGTCCTCGCTCCCATAATGTGATTGAGATAGATTATGCAGAATAAAATTCATTGTATAGGAGAGTTTAATGAAAAGGTGACACGCCTTCGCACTGTCTTATGGCTAATTTTGTCGATACATTTTCTTTGTCCTGTTGTCGAATCGCCTCTGATTCATATTCTCCTTTCTTTTGCCTCGAACCTCTTTCTCAGTAATGTTGATGTGAAAGAATGTGGCTATTGCCATTTGAATGGTCTTTCTCTTCGCAGACTCCTTCCTATTTTTGAGCATATCTGCATGCTGTTAGATCGACTTTTTCTTTGCTTTGGCTAGCTCTATTGCAAACCGCCGATCTTATGTCAGTTTGATTTCTTTCTCGACACCCCTTTCATGGTCCCCCAGTCCTCTGCCGAACTCATTCATAAGCTTGATGAAAAGCACAGACTCGAACGAGCTCAAATCTCAACGAATCTTGAAGATTGACAGACCTTTACTCAGCACTTTGCAAAGTCGTATTTAAATTGCCTATGGCGTTTTTCCATGCCTTCGGTTATATATCGGCTACAATCTTGTGTGTTCGCAGATACAACAACATAAAGAAAAAAGCATTTAGAATGTCACAAAAGCGCTTTCTAAGTTCTCTAGCCCCTCTTGACTACGCACACAACATCGAAACTGGGAATTTCCAGCAGGCTTCCTCCGAGCCATGTTTGGGCAATCCAAATGGTGCTCCACTTTTCTGTAGAATACATCCGACTCCTTTCATTGTATTAGGCCATGTCTTCTGAATTAACGTGCTCTTGATTACTAGCGCAACCTCCAAGGTATCGATATAAATTTCTCAAGAGAAGCGAAATGATTGCTCAAAAGCGAAACTTTGTAGCAGTGAGGAAGCCGTCAGTAACTTCGAACAAAAAAGCATTTTGGATTACTTCCCTTCATTTTGACTTACTACAAATGCAGACCTCAAGGAGTTCTTTCACAAGCAACCTAGGGTGCCTCTCATGTTCCCGTATACTGTAAAAAGGTTTAGAGCAAAAGCTCATAGTTTGCAATACGTATGAGAAGGGAGACAAACCTGACTTTGACAGGCATATATCCCCAGTTCAATGTACTCTTGTTGTAATTTCTAGCGTTCTCCAGGCATTCGCAGCAGACGTTCTGCAAATTATAATGTAAGTCTTTTGGTAACTTTCTTGCCCAAAGGTTGAAAATAGAAAATTACTAGTTGTGTCTAACCTGAAGTTCTGTGCGACTGCCACATTCAGTTCGACTTCATCTGGGGACAATTTGGGTTTGCATTTCTCAAAGTCTTGTAACTTGCAACTCATATGGCGTCTGTGCTAATTTTTGGCTCGACATTGTTGGCAAAGGATGTTCAAATGGCTACATTAAACAGCACGACACACTTACTGTAAGAACAAAGAAAGGAAGACTAGCATGGGGTCATATGTACCGCTGATAAACAATGCACAGAGTATGTGAGACATCGCTTATATAGGTTGTACGCGTATATAAATAGTTCATGGTATTCGCTGATGATAGAAGACCGTATGATCCTATACTGCACATGAGTGCTTGAATAAACTAAAATCGTAGACCCTAGAACAGATAATCTGTAATGTATCCCGTTTCTACATATCAAAGCAATCTCTGTATCAAAAGCAAACATTTCAAAGAATGCGCACTAAGTTCTACGGTATGTTTCAGCTTAGTTGAGTTTCGCTGTGTTTAAAAAAACCATGAATCTAATTTTGTGTGTTTTTTATTTTTACACATTATCATACTTTGCTTGTATCCATGGAAATTTCCTGAAACGGGATTCAAAATGCAGGAATTTCTGCGATTTCCTATAGATTGTATCCCATTCACTAATTTTTGAAACTATTCCGAAAAAAAAAGGCTTTGCACTTCTATTCAGTTATGAAGGAATCAACAAAGAAGATATCTCAAATTTGGCAATACGCATTTCAAATCTGACAAATTGTGTACACGCTGACTTGCTCATTTTCGACAAATGAAGCCGATGAAACGGGGCGCATCGCTGCGAAGCGGACGATTTTCTTCGTCGAGACAACAGTTTATAGCCGTCAAAGTGGATTGGGGTTTTGACTTGGAGTTCTTCATATCTGTATCGATAATTTGGAACAGGAACATTCCATAATGTCAATATAATAGAATCTACACAAACTATTATAGATTACACATCTGTTGCTTGAAGCTGGAGCAGATGTAAACGCAGCTGATAAATTTGGCGCCACTCCACTTCACCGAGCTGCAAGTCAAGGTCATGACAAGGTGAGGCTACCCATGTACAATAATTATTTCAGATTCTAGCCAGTTTTATACATTAAACGAATTACTTCTGCTTGTTCAGCATTAAATTGCACTTATATATTCAGTCTAAATCAATTACAAGCACCTAAGAGTGTCATTATTTTTGCGTGTAAAACGGATGATTTGTATGAGTTAAAGTCTAATATCTGAGTATGCACTTAGACGTGATCATTTTTTTAGCAAGCAAGCGCCAAGAATTTTCCATTTCTCTGAGGATGAGTTTGGGTTTATTTAGATCGTGCACATGCTGCTTGCTCGTCCGAAGATATACATCGATCCCAGAAATTCTGAAGGAAGCACACCTTTGTGAGTAATTTTTATGCATTTCTTAAATTTCGATTTCGTTTTTGCAGATTCCTCGCATGCGAGGAAGGTCGTGAAGACGCTGCGATTGCTCTAGCTAGGAAAGGAGCTAGCCTTACGTTAAAGAATAAGGTTGATTTATTAGCAAGTCACTTAAAGCTGACCAAATAATTCACTACTAAGGAAGAGGAATGTGCGCTGGACGTTGTGAGAACTACTGATCTACGAGTTAAACTTCGTAACGCAGAGCAACACGCACAAAATATGCAAGAATGATCTCTTATTTATGCATGAAATTTACGGATATATATGTGAGATGACTGTAATAACTGTGTTCGTAGTTTTGTTGTTGAAAAAAGATGAATAAATTTGGTTTACTGGTGAGGCGCCCTCAAACAATCAACTTGCGGGAGCAAAACTTTTAGAGAGGGCCCCCCTTCTGGCTTCCAGAAGCGTTTTCTGATGTGTTTGTTCGTATATGACAAGAGAACGTTAAAGGCAGTGGATCGGCAAAACTTGACAACCTGAGATCTTAACGCAGTAGGTTCCTTAAAATCCAAGTATAAAAACAGTGCAACCTCGGTTGCACAGCATGCCTTCCCTGTGGAGAAAATCGCTCTCGAATTTACTCGCGCAAGCCAATCTTACACGCACACCATTGGAGGCTGCCCGCCGCAATGCTATAATCATTGGGTCCCGCAACGGTTCAGCGTCATCATCCTTGCTCCATTCGTTTTGAAGGTAAGGGGGTTGAAAAACGTCTTTTCGCCTTTTTCGAGCTCTCTAAGGTGGGTTTTCGTGACCAGCGAATAACCCCAGATAAGCGGAAATTTGACTAGGTTGAGATTTGCCGAGCCACTGCCTTTAGGTACCCTTTGATTCAACTGCCATGGCGGCTGGAAGCGGGGCTTTGCGACCTAATTAAGGCCGTTCGCGCCCGCTACGCATTCTGCATCTCTCCCGCGCTTTGCTCTCTGATCATTACCTAGCCTTAGTTAGGTCACGAAGCCCCACCATCCATCCGCCAAGCCAGTTGAATCAAAGGGTACTTACCAAATCGCGTGGCGACCCTTGTCCAACGGAATCGTCTAGGTATGGTACGAAGTAAAGGAGGAAATAATTTCATAAGTGTAATGAAATTTTCAAAGCGAGGTTCAAGCTCTGGAGAGCCGGGCATGGGACTCGGCTACATCAAACCATGTTCATAGAAATAGAGAGCTTGTTGATAAAAGAAGCTTCAAAAACATGCACACTGCAAAATATTTGCTTTATTTCGTCTTAACAACTCTCTCAGTTATCACACAAGTGTACTTGGTTCTTCAAACACTGTTTCTGTTCATAATTGAAGCGATAAAGTTTGATAAAATCTATTAGGTCGTTAAAAAAGTTTCCGTTCACTTTTGCATTCTTTACAAATGCCATGACATATAAGAGATTTCTATCCGAATAGCCAACGCGACATTAAGGATTTTTAGTGATTGTGAAATACGCAAATTCTGAAAGCAAAAGCCGGCGTATACGAATTTCTGGGATTTCTTCTCCAACTTCTTTCATACGCAGGTGTTTCAAAAAGGTGGTTATTCGTTGTTGAAAGGTTTGGAGAAGCCCTTTAAGTAGGAATTTTAAGCCCAGCCGGCGTATTTTTTAGAGTTGAAACGGCCACATGTGGCTTGGCGTTATCCTACACAATGATTGCTCCCGTCCTATTCAGGAGAGGGAGTCTCATAGTAGCTATTTTCGTTGGTGACGTCGAGCATTTGTGAATGATACCCCCTGAGTCCGTTTGCAACTCCTAGTGGACGCTGTTGTCAGACCACATAACGATGGGCATGATTTTTTCCGGTGTGCGGTATCGGCGCACACCGGACGGACTGTGGCTTGGTCGTTGTCTCCCCTGAGTTTGGTCAAAGACAGTGTCCGGGCAGAAACTCGATTTTGAGACTTTGTGCTTACCCGGGCCAATTTGCTACGCTGAATCCGAAAACGTACATTGGAGAGCGCGAAAACAGCGAAAAACGGTTCTAAAGCAAGAGGGAAATTAGCAGGTGGGCGGGGTTCTCCCCACTATGAATTCACGCTCCCAGCTTCCGGAGCGTTCTTCTCGCTTTCGGTTTTAGGTCATCCATTCGCATTTGGCCGGTAACGATGTTAAAACGGCTAACGAAATCGAACAGACCGCGCCGAAAGCTAGAAGCGTGAATTCGCGTTGGAGAAAACCCCGCCCACTTGCTGTTTCCCTCCTGCCCTTTTTTGCCGTTTTCGCGCTTTCGAGTGCGGATTTCGGATTCAGCATGGCGAATAGGCCCATATAAGCACAAAATCTCAAAATCGAGTTTTTGCCGGGACACTGCCTTTAAGTCGTGATTCTATCAACTGTTTAGGTCGTTTTTGCTTAGGAAGGCACGCCGACCTAGCGTAATGTTCAGGCTCTTGTCGCCGTTTGCAGAACTTTTCGACAAATCGCCGCTGTCATCTCAGAGGCAGCGTCCCGGCAAAAGATGGGTGCCGGTTAAAGTACCCTTCAATGCATCAGGAGTAGCGGCAGGTTGGGGGGGGGGGTGTCTGCATCTCTTATGTGAGCGTACTCTTCAATCATTTTTGCACTACGAGCGTGGTAAAGGCAAAGCGTCAATCACTAGAGAGCACAATCGCGGAAGAGGTGCAGAGCCAGGCGAGGTGGCCGCGTGGACGTGAGCCACACCCACCAGCCGCCACTCCCGATAGATCAAAAGGTACATCATATTGTTATCGTGCTGTAGCGAGAATAATATAGAAAAAGGCAGATTTATTTATTGAAGCTCCACAAATTTCGCATCAAATGTCAGCCAAGTCTCTTTTCTTGCAGCATTGCGCGCGGCAACGTCGAAGTCGGGTAATCTATAAATAATTCTTTCATCATATTATTGTTACAATGTAACCAGTAAAAGCAGAGAAAGAAGTCGAGAAATACGTGTCAAGGTATACGAGTAGATCCTTTATTATGAGGATCTTCTCGCCGATAGACGCTTTTTAGTCTCCCCTTCTTGGCTCCTTCATTAACTGATCCACCAAACTCCGCATGCCGAAAGTGACAAAGTCGAATGCCAAGGAAGACCTCCTTATATAGCTGGTTGAGATGATGTGAGGGTCGCGCCGATTGCATAGTCCTATTTTGAAACCACTGACATACAAACTCATAGAATAGCAGACGAACACATGCAAATCGACTAAAAAGGATTAGGTAACATAACAAGAAGGGAGACGGTCAAGAGGCGCGATTTCTCTGACTGTCACCAACTTAAAAGCCCATTTCTGCACTACACAAATTTTCAAAAAATTCCAGAGGATGTCTTTAGCTTACTAGCTGTTCGAAGTCGCCATTTACTTAGTTTCACCGCTTTTGCTGCAAAAATGAGCGAAATATTCACGAAATTGCCATTACCCTATTTTCAGGTGTATAAGCCGCGGGGTGGTCCTAGCTTACATCGATCAGCCCGAACACATCAATGGACCTCGCATTCAAAGGACCCTATACCGTGCTGCGTATTGTCTGAAAGAATCGTGCGGTATAAGGATCGCTTCTCGAAACACGATGAAGCGGCTGAGCAGCCCGGGCGAAGATTTGAAAAAGTGCGACTTATACACCTGAAAATAGGGTATTTAAACTTTCATGGGTTTTTGACCTCCAATGTTTCTGTTTTGGATCTTTTTCAGGATGATAAGATCAGACAGCTCATGCAACGATCTTCTATAACTTCTCAGAAATTTGAAAGGCCCTTAGAACATTATTAAACATTTAAAATGTGCAATTTGATGTCCAGCTGGCAATAAAAATCGCGCCTCTTGACATACACCCTAACAAGAATGGTACCGAACTACTGGCTACGGCTTCACAGATGCAAATTTGATGCATGGCAGGACTCAATGTATTTACTTAACAAACTCTCCTCAACAGGTTGCCATACAAATGTTCCCCCATTCTTAACGCCACGTTCAATCAATTGCAACTAGCCGCAGAACAGGAAAATGCTAGTGAAGCGGTTGTTTTTTGACAAGATTAGTCTGTGCACACATACCGCCAATGAATGATCATTTGATGCCAAGCAAACCATCCAGTGTCTTAACAATTTATCAATTGAATGAAATCACAAAGTGGCAGTGGTATGAAGTTTGGTGTGCTTGACATCGTTCAGTTCTTCTGCTTAGTTAATGCAAAAATATAATCATGTATCAAATGAAACTGACATGCTCACAAAGTTGCTTCGGTCTAACTAAAGCAAATCTCTCTCCACTTCCACCCTTGTAAGCCTCCCTAGATTACATGCCGTTTGGAGCAGTGGCACGCATAAAAACTGCCGTACTTTTCGTTGTGATAGACAGCATAGGGTCAGTTTGTTTTCCAAGTTGATCGTAGGTCGCCTCATAGCAAGTCTTTTTGTGGTTTCTCCCGTATACGCTTCTCTTGATTTGGTTATCTATGTTACACCAAAGCATCGCAGGAATCCAACTACCTATTCATAGTAACACTCTCGAATGGCTCTGGGTGTCTCTCAAAATGATCTTTCGGTTTGCTCAAAGCGCCGTTTCCTCCGCTGTAGGTTATCCTGGAACTGGTTGGTCTTTAATGTCTGTGGCAGCAAGTTTTGATAATTTCACCACCGCATATGCGGATGAGTGGCGCAGTAGTATGGAAGCGCGTATGATGAGGTCGGGCCAAGGGGAGGGCGTGCAGGAGTTCCTAGCACCTTTTCTCGCACCAACTTCGCACCAGCATTCGCACCCAGGAGGGTTCTAGCACCTCCGAGCCTCAGAAGTCAGGACCCGCCCATTGCTCCTCCCATTTACTGGTCTCATTGTGAGGCATGCAAGCAGCGAGAACGTAGATTCAGGTATTAAGGTGATAAGATTTAAAAAATGGAGAAAAAACGAAACATGGTTATTATTTCTTAAGTGAGGCGGCTTGGAAACTCCTGCTATGCCATCCTTTTAAAAAAGAGCACATGAACATTACTCTAAGAAGAGAAAATTAACAGAGGATTTTTTGAGTGGAAAATGCGGTCATTCGAAATATTAGAGGATCTAGTCGATAAATTGTACATTACTGGTCATCTGATTGAAGTAATTTAGCATCAGGAGCTTCAGAACCCAATTCCTTCTCAACAATAGAAGGAGCTATTTTGAAAGAAGTGCATCAAAGTTTCGAAACAAGCAAATAACGCTTTATCCAACAGATAGGATATCTAAACACATACTTTTTTATCGTCTGCCATCATATATTCGAAGAATTTTTCATTTCG